AGTGGCTGTTCTGAAACCATGACTCCCTATCAGTCCATTCTCAAAGATTTTCAGCCCTCGTATGACTCAAAAGCTGTGACACTTGCTGATCTTGGCAAAGTACCTATCAAAGGAGTCGGCAAGCTTGAGTTTGAAAAGGATGGTAAGTCTTTTTGTGTCAATAAAGCTTTATTTGTTCCTGATTTGGGAGCAAACTTGCTCTCAGCTGGACAACTTGAAGAGAAAGGTGCCTCTGTTCTTTTGCAAGGGGGGAAAGCCAAAGTGTGGGATAGTGCAGGAAATTTGGTGGCTGAAGGCGAGCGTACCGGGCGTCTCTACAAGATGAAGTTGGAGATTAAGCGCGGTTCTAGCAACGCGAAGAACGACGTTGTTTCGCTTCCCGCTGTTTCAACCGATCAAGTCAACAACAAAGGGAGTATCTCCCAAGCTGAGGTATGGCATGCACGCTTGGGGCACTTGGGGATGCAAGCATTCAAAGAGTTAGTAAGTCACAAGAGCGTGGAAGGACTTAATTTGAGTGAAAGTGCAGTCAAGTCTCTTTCTACCGTCCCATGCCCATCTTGTGTCGAAGGTAAGTTAGCAAGAAAGCCATTTTTTCCTTCTAAGTCTCAGTCAAGGGACCTCCTAGAGTTGGTCCACACTGATGTATTCGGCCCCATGCGAGACCCTACTCGAAACGGTAAGAAATATTTGGTGTCTTTCATTGATGACAAGAGTCGTTTCTCATGGTCCTTTTTCATCAACACCAAGGATGAAGTGCACAAGTGTTTCAAGCAATGGCTAGCACTTGTTGAGAGAGAGTCAGGGAAGAAGTTACTCACCTTGAGGTCGGATCGAGGAGGTGAGTACATGGGGAAAGCGTTTCAGGGGGAGTTGTTGGCATTGGGCATCAAACAACAGTTCACTTGTCCCTATAGTCCTCAGCAAAATGGAGTGGCACAGATGTTTCATCGCACTATCCAGGCTATAGCTACCGCTTTCCTTCAGTTCAAAGGCCTTGACAAGCTCTGGTGGGGTGAGGCAATCACTATGGCAATTTATGTTCGCAACAGGAGACCCACAAGGCCCTTACCGGAAGGTGTAACGACATATGAGGCTTGGTTTGGAGTTAAACCAGATCTGTCTATGCTTCGTGTTTTTGGTTCCATGGCCCAATACCGTGTTCCAGATGCAAAGAGACTCAAGCTGGACAGCAAAGCTCATTGGGGCCTCTTCATCGGCATGAGCAATGAGAGCAAGGGATGGGTCCTTTGGGATCCTGTCACCAAGCGAGAAGTGGTTTCAAGGGATGTTGTCTTCTATGAAGACATGTCCCTTGCAGGTTGGCATAAGTTTTCCTCTTCCTCCTCTCTACCCTCTATCCAACAGGAACCAGCAAGCGCACCTGAGGAAACAACACAAGAGGAGGAAGAAGATGACACCGATTCTGACCATAGCGGACCGATCATCGATCTCCCTCAAGCCGTCGTCAACGAGTCCAACCGTGCCACGCCAGTGCCACCAGCAGCTACTCAACCAAGTGGAGATGAAGTTCAGCCATCAAATGAAGACAATCCACCGCAGCAAGTCACCGTTCCATCACCACCAAAGGAGCAGCAGCCAACAGTCACAAACCAGCCAGCTATATCAACACCAACCTCACAATTTCAACGCCAACCGGATCAGCCCACCACTACGCCATCAAACCCATCACCAGCCATCACTCCAGAGGCAACTACAGAAGCTCATCATCATCCCATGCAGCAGCAATCAACAGCTACAAGACCCCAAGTACCTACATCAACACCATCTACGACTCTTCCTAGCAACAAGTCAACCGTCACCGCAACACCTCGTTCTCATACCACACGTTCATCACTTGTTCCAACGTCAAGCCAGCTCATAGCACGAGGATCACTTCAGCGAGTCACCACCAACACCAACTCCAACAGTCCACTTCTTCACCCAAGACCTTTCTCAACTTCACCCCCACGTCCCGGATTCGGTCGTCATCAGTTACCACCATCTTCAACACCGAGCAACAACACCAACCAGCCCCAACCATCACCACCTCTCGACAAGGCAGCGTCATCATCAATTCCCAAGCTTCTAGTCTCAAGATCCCCACCAAGAGCATCTTCACAACCAACTATGCCGACAAACGTTTCAGCTTCACCGCCACGAGTCACCATACCTAATCCTCAAGTCAACACCGATAATCAAGATATTTCCACGCCAGGAGAAGAACAAGCAGCCGTGCCGCCGTCGCAGCCGTTGTCTCAGCCGCAAATGACCGCATCAACGCAATCAAACACTGTGAGACCGAACCCTACCACTAATGTGTCTCAGCCAACTGAGGAGTTTGGTAAAGGTAAACGAGTCCGCAAGGTAAAAAAGCCCTTCAATTTCATGGTTGACATGTCATCAAGGTGCACATGTGAGGAGAGTGAGAATTGCATTCACAAGAAGGTAGAGGCAATATGCATGGCAGCATCACACCTTCCGCGAGAGCCCTTGAGTCGTCGTGAGGCAATGGCAAGTCCCGAAAGAGAGCATTGGTTGAAAGCCGAGGAAGAGGAGATTGAGAGTCTCATGAAGCGAGGTACATGGCGTCTTGTTGAGCCACCTCCAGGGAAGAAGGTAATTGGTGTCAAATGGGTGTACAAGATCAAGGTAAAAGGTGATGGTAGCCTCGATAGGTACAAGGCAAGGTTAGTGGCAAAAGGTTATTCCCAAATTCCAGGTCTTGACTTCACCGAAACCTTTGCCGTGGTAGCAAAGTACACCACGGTACGAGTCCTCCTCGCCATAGCCGCATATCTTGGTCTCCATATCCATCAAATGGATGTCAAGAACGCATTTCTCTACGGTGTCTTGGAAGAAGAGGTATACATGGCACAACCCGAAGGTTATGATGACGGTACGGGTCGAGTGTGTCGCTTGGTAAAGTCCCTTTATGGTCTCAAACAGTCCCCACGGGTTTGGTATCATGCTCTTGAGCAGGTACTTTTCAAGCATGGTTTCACAAGGTCCATGAGAGACAACGCTCTGTACTTCATGCACACGAGTGAGGGGGAGTACATTTGGCTCTTGGTATATGTCGATGACCTCCTCCTAGTCTCAGGTTCTCTTGATCTTCTCAACAAGGTGAAAGGTATTCTCACGAGTGCATTCACGATGACCGATCTTGGTGAGCCGAGTCATTATCTTGGTATGAACATTGTGAGAGATCGTAAGTCACGGTCCATCTTCCTATTCCGGCAAAGGTACATCCAAAAGGTCCTTGAGAGGTTTGGTCTTGATGATAGCAAGCCATCACCTACCCCACTTCCTTCCAAATTTGTCCCTTTGTCTTCACATCAGCCCTATGAAGAGAGAGAGTCAAGCCTTGATATCATAGGTATTAAAGAGTTGTGTCTTGAGGAGAGTGAGCATCATGGTGAGAATTCACTTAAGGTATCCCCACAAGACCTAGCTCTGTACCAAAGTCAGGTTGGGTGTCTCATGTATGCAGCCCTATGCACAAGGCCCGACTTAGCATTCACGGTATCTAAGCTAGCTCAACACATGAGTGCCCCTTCACCTATTCATATGCATGCAGCCAAGCGAGCTCTTCGGTATCTCAAAGGTACTTCTAATCATGGTCTTCTCTTCCAAGCCAGCCCATATGCAAGCTCCCTCCAAGGCTTTACCGATGCAGATTGGGCGGGAGAATTGAGCACACGCAAGTCTACCGGCGGCTACATCTTCCTCATGTATGGTGCCGCTGTTTCTTGGCAATCGCGCAAGCAAAGTTGTGTGGCACTTTCAACAACCGAAGCTGAGTACATGGCAATGACCGAAGGAGCAAGGGAGGCAATCTGGTTACGTGGACTCTTGGAGGAATTGAGGCAGCCGCAAACTCAACCAACTCCGCTCTACGTGGACAACACTTCAGCCGTAGCTCTTTCCAAGAACCCGGTTCATCATGGGCGTACAAAACACATCGAGGTGCAGTACCACTTCATTCGTGAGCAACTAGAGAAGGGAGTTATCGCCGTCAACTTTTGCCGTTCATTCGATCAAGCAGCAGATTTCATGACCAAGGTTCTTCCACATGATGCATTCAACATGTGCAAGGCAAGAGCAGGCCTCATGACACTTCATGAAGCAGTGGAGCAGTTTGAGGAGAATGAGGAGTGTGAGGGGAAGAGACGTGGGCAGCAGCATGAAGTGTATGCTAAGGAGATGTGAAAGGAGCATCAGCATGGGTGTATGTGTGCTTCGGGTCTGGTGCGAGGGGGAGTGTTGGAGAATCGAGTTTCTGCCGCCCCAGCCCTTTGCACACAAGCAGCAGCAAGGGGGAATGTCGGCGATGAATCAGAGCTTCGGGAAGTACTTCGAAAGTTCCACCACCAATCAGATTTCAGCCGAAGACTCGATATAGTTCAAAGCTGCCTTCAAACCGAAGTGTTGGCAGTTTCTACAGGTTTCTACACATCAGAATCAGCTATAACAGAAATATCCAGAGTTTTCTTATTCATGCACCTCATGTGGCACTCAAAGTCACTCAAGGTCCATCCAATCTAGATTGTGCCCAAGTTACCAGGGAAGTTACATTGTCTATCAGCCTAGTTTGAGCTTTCAATCTGTCTTGTTTGTGATGCCTAGAGTTGTGATTTAGTGGGCTTGTTAATCTTGAGCATAGTGTAAGTTTTCTCTCATCAAGCCAAGTCCAGCAGCTCTGTTGAGCTCTTCCAGCCAAGTTTCCAGCCTTCCAGTCATCAGAGCTACTCTGTTTTAGAAGTCTTGCACCTCTGCTTCACGAGGCAGATTTTTCTTAGGAGATTCTCAGATCGCTTTAGTTTAATCACCGTGTACTATTTCATTCATATTTTTATCACCAACGCCGTCCTTTTCGCCGGCTCGCCTGCTCGCGTCTTTCGTACCTTTCTCCGACCGTGAGTTTTTTTGTTGCTGTAAAGCCGCTGGCAATGGCGTCACCTTGCCTACACCTCTCGTCCACGCCTAATCTCAGAAATATGTTAAACGCCGCGCTAGAGACTAGGGGAGCCCTTTCTTCATCTCAGATCGTGGATCGGACGGCTGCCGGCGATTCTGGCGATCAGAATATTTCCGCGCCGTCAGAACTGCCGGCGAAGTTCAAACAGTACGCATCCACAGCAGACGGCGATGCGATTCCGTACGCCGTGGTCCGCGCCGCGTGGTCCGCTTTACGGGAGCGGCACGGGTTGGATCGCAGCGACCGCAGCGACCAGAGCGAAGAGAGTGGTAACACAAGGACGGGTCAGATTTCGCCGAGCGACAGCTGCGAGACGAGCGAAGTGAACGAGTCAGAAGCACGGGAGGAAGCCTCAGGCGTTACTTCACAAGGCACTGCGAGCAGCACTGGCAACACGAGTAACGATACTGCGAGTAGCAACGGCAGTGCTGCCAGGTGCAGCGGAAACGGGAGGAGCAATGGCAGTGCGAGCAACGGCGCTGCGATCAGCGACAAGCGCCCTGATTGGCTTCTGTACGAGGTGCTGCAGGGCTGCCAGGTGTTGCTACCTGCTCCACCCGAGCCTCCGAAGAAGGTACGGCCGGACATACAATCTTGGCTCGGATTGACAGCTCAGAGCTCGTTGTTTATTCTCTTTTTTTCACCTTTCTCCTGTTTAGAGTCCATCTTGTGTGTTCCTCACTTCATCTTCGCGAATAGCTCTCAATTGAATCTTCCCGCTCTCCTCTTCTTTCGGCACCCCATCCCTCTGTTGTCCTTCAGAGTGCGGAGCTGGAAGCTCGTCTGGCTGCTCTCAAGGAAGAAAAGGAGCAGAGGCGGTACAGAGAGCTTTCTATCACCACTTCCCTTTCTCCCTTACCTCCACTTATCATCTCACAGAGTGCGGAGCTGGAAGCTCGTCTGGCTGCTCTCAAGGAAGCAGAGGAGCAGAGGCGGTATAGAGAGCTCGTGAGAGATGTGGTTCCCAAGGGAGCAAAAGGGAGAGGCGCAGGTGGTGGTGTTGATGATGAGGAGGACTTCGGAGGGCAGGGGGGAAGCTCGTACCTGGCTTCGTACAGAGAGCAGCTCGGGTTCGGTAAGTTCATTTTCCTTTTTTTTTTTCCAGATTGTTTTACTGTCGGTTCCTATGAAGCGGCACATTCATTGCCTGCCACTGCTCCCGTTGTCTGGAAGTTTCGGTCTTTTTTTTTTTTTTGGCACCTCTAAATTTGCTTGCCACTGCTGCCGTTGGCTGGCGGTTTTGGTCAACAATGAGTTTCATGATGACGTTTGAGCCGACGCAAATTTCACTATTTGCCACTGTCACGTTCGGCCAGCTCTGCTGAGACTTGAGTTTTGTGGTTTTGGTGGGCGTTTTAGGCTGAGTCTCCTAAACGATTGCGTTGAAAGAATTCGTGGCATCCTTTCTTGCCTTTATCTGATTTTATTTATTTCCTTCGTTTTTCCTTCATCCCCGTCCCGAGCTGCTTTCCCTTGAAGCCCTCCCTGCATACACACCTCCTTTTTGTTTGAATTTTCGGTCATCTTTTCTTCATTCCATTCCGAGCAGGCATGCATGTGGTGGGTGTGATGTTCACCTGTTACCTCTTGGGTCACTTCGCTGCTTCTGCTCTTATCAAAGACCAACCTGCCCTGGTGAGCCCACTAGTAAGCTCCCTTGGTAAGCTCCCCTGGTAATTCCCTAGGCAAGCTCCCTTGGTAAGCTCCCTTGGTAAGCTTCCTTGGTAAGCTCCCTTGGTAAGCTCCCTTGGTAAGCTCCCTTGGTAAGCTCCCTTGGCAAGCTCCCTTGGTGCTCCCTTGGTGCTCCCTTGGTAAGCTCCCTTGGCAAGCTCCCTTGGTAAGCTCCCTTGGTAAGCTCCCCTAGTAAGCTCTCTTGATAAGCATCATGCTGTGGGCTATGGCAGTCTGGACCAGAATCAATCCTTCCTCAGTGATGGTGGGTATGATATTGATCAGGTTCTTTGAGTGTACTTCACGTGTTCAGAGTGCCTTTTCAACCACCATGCCCTCTTCCCCTCCCCCCCCCCCCCCCCCCCATATGGTAGCATGTCGTAAGAGGTGCATGCAAACACCCTGACTCAACCTCCTTGTTTCCTGCCCCCTGCGTTCCTATTTCGCTCTCACATGGCAGCACCCAGTGGGAGGTGCAGTGGGTTTGATATTCGGCATGCTGCTAGAAACCACACTCTTCATAATCCGTACGACGCAGCTCGAGGAGAAACAAGCTAAGCAACGCAGCAAGAAGGCTGCTAGAAAGCATGGAGTGTCAGTGCCATCACTAACTGCAGGGCGGGCTTCTAGCCAAGGGACCCAGACAGCACATAAGAGTGTTAGTAATGTTTCTGTGGGTTCTGAGGAGTTGGATGCAGTGCGGCAAGAGCTGATTGAACTGGCAGGGAGACGGCAGAAAGGAGCTGGCGTGTCAGGCTCTTCAGGGGGTTCCATGGTGAGGAGGCGGAATGTGCGGCAATCTGACGGTGACTAGATTGGCCGCACAGCATCCATTGCTTGGTTGACCTCGGATTCCTATTGTTGTTTTTTCCCACAATTCAGTCAGTATGATTTCTCCTGACTGGCCATGAGGAAAAGGGACATTTGCTAAACATTGCTTGGAGCCAGCTCAAATTTCCCAAGCACTCAGCCCACACCCTCCACTGCCATGTGACTTGGCAAAGGAACGGGGGATACGCTGAAATAGCAAGGAATAGTCCACTTCGTCAAATCAGAACAAGGGATATTCCTAGGGAGGGCAAACCGCGGCAGCCACATCCGCTCCAGCAATCCGCCTATGTGCAAACAATTGATATACAAGACTCAAATCTAGCCTGCTGCGACAGAGCATGCGACGATTACTGCGACTCAGCAAAATAGCTTAATCCTCATAAATCCTGCACTCGTCAGCAGCGGGGTTGTCGTCGCAGAACGCGTCAAGAGGGTCCGTGTATGCTTCCTTCTTCTCCTCAGTCTTCTCAGCAGCAGCAGCAGCAGCAGCAGCCTCCTCTGCCTTGGCCTTCTCCTCCGCAGCCTTCTTCTCCTCAGCCTCCTTGGCTTCAGGCTGAGCCATGGCGACAATGCGGACAGAACGGACGCTGCGGACAGAGAGCGAGGAGGACTTCAGGGAGGCGGTCTGGACGAAAGAGCTGCGCCTGAAGGCGACAGCGGAAGAAACACCGGCGGAGACCGCGAGAATGGCAGCCATTGCTAAATAGTTACTAAAATACGGTCTCCTGACGGTATTTGGAGTAAGATTGGATGGAACACCCTAGAATATGCGTGACCAGACAAGAAACTAGAATGCGTCTTGCCTTGAAACGCCAATGTCTTTCGTTGGAGGAGTATTCAAGCTCAACCAAAGATTGACGGACAAGCTGACGGAGTTCCTGAAAACGGACGGAATTGCTGACGGTTTCGCGAGTTCCTGCCTGTGCTGAAGCTGGTCTCGAGTGCTGCACCTTCGTGGCTTGACGATGGTACACGTGGTGGATATTGCCACGCTCGGAAAAGCAGAGGGCATGGACACCCCTGGAAAAATTCGATCTGACACGTGGAATAGACTGGGGCCAAGAAAGTCGAGAAAGATGGCCAGACCGAGGTCGAATTGCCACGCTGGCGAGGTGGAAGTCTCCGAAACTAATCCAATCCAGGTCACTTGCTGAAACCCCCACCACCCCCCCCCCCCCCCCCATAACTGCATCTGCGAATTCGAGCTCCAAGACATAGATGCAGTCCGGTGCTTTACAATTTCGAGATGATAAAAGGATTTGGTTTGGCGAACTCAATCCACGAGAGCAGTGCAATTTGCGGTGTAACAAATTCCGGTATAACACAATATGAATGTGCAATATACGATCATCTCAGGAACCGGAAATATTATGAGAAGCAACAGCATGAGAATGAAATTATCTTCCAGTACACGGGCACGGCGCTGGTGATGAAATTACCAGTAGGCGTTGGTGATGAACTTATTAATCAGGTACATTGACGAAAGAGCTGGTGAGTGATGTGCCTCTAGTAAAATTAAGTTCCTCCCCTGCTTCAATTCAGCTGCTGAGAGTGGCAACAAGAGACCCACCGTCTTCTCATTCTTACTTTCCTGCTTCCCAACAAATTGGACGGCACCAACACCCTGAAACCGCAACGCCTATTGTGTTTATGAAGAGGACATACTGGTAGCCTTCACAACCATTGTGAACTGGCCTGTCAGATCAAACCAAAAGTTATTCATGAACAGCAAAACGAACAGGCATAGCTCAGCCCTTGCCAAGTAAAGATCCGTCTATGGACATCATGGCTAGGCTAATCTGACTGACTAAAAACCCGCATGTATACTACCAGTACATCGTTCAGTCAGAGTAGATCCTGCACTCATCCTCAGATGGATTCTCGTTGCAGTACTTCTCAAGCGGATCCTCGTAATCCGCTGCCTTCTGCTTCAAAGCCTGATCAGCAGCGGCAGCAGAGATCTCCTCCACCTCATCCCACGCAGCAGCGCACTCAGCGGTGGAGTTCGGATCGGAGCAGGTTTCTTGAGCAGCAGCGATCTTCTCCTGAATCTCCTTCTTCAGATCAGGCTGGGCCATAGCCACGATGCGGACGGCACGGGTGCTGCGAACATTGACGGGCTTCGCAGACAACTTCAGAGAAGAAGTCTGGACGAACGAGCTCGAGAGAGCAGCAGCAGAGACCGACGCGAGAGCAGCCATGATAAACTACGACGCGTTGATGTAATGATCGAGTCGGTCTAGAAGCCGGGTTAAGGCGGGAAAGCTGTGAGCTAATCTTGCCTGTGCGAACTGCAAAAAAGCTTCCAACTTTCAGGCAATTATCAACTGTTCCTCCCCTCGGTGGTCCTCCTTGGCAGGCGGAAATATTTCCTAGTCTCCTGCGCCCAACAAACAGGTGCGGGGTTTGGATGGTCGAAGAGTGTTTCGGCGAGGTGAAAAACAGTTTTAAGGGATGGAGCGGGGTTATCAAACCGCGCAAACGGTGAGCTGTTCCCTATGAAGGCAGCTCCCCTAGTGTGGCGCCGCCGACATCCAGAATGCGCTGGAAAGTCCAAGAGGTACGGGGAAGCAACGCGGCAAAAAGCGGGGACAGCGAAGCATTGCAAGATTACTTCATTAGAAGCATGTCTTGATTGGCTATAAGGTAAAGCGTCTAATAACAGCATGCCGTTTGATAGGCTTTGTTCAATATAATGCATCTGAGACAGGTTCTGAATCCCGTATTTTGCTACCATGTGTACACGTCACAGATGCATTTGGAACCGTTGGGAACAGAATCACTGTCTGTTTATTCAACTGAGTTTACTCTTCTGGGCTGGATAATCAAAGAATCAATGAGGCCCGCCCACAAATACACTATTGTAACGAGCCATGCCGGCACATCCTGTACATAGACATTGCACACACGTTAACTACGAACTTTACAAACTATATAAACACGTATACATGACCGTACGTGCGACAGTTTTTGGTATTATAGCACATGCACCCACACTTGCTTATGATGACCCTCGTCACCAGCAGCAGTATCCACATCATCCAAACCAGCATCCACCATACCATCACCTCCATCTCCCTTCCTCCCACTTCCATCCCCCTTCCCTTCACCCAAAACCAACGCCTCATCCCCACCAATTCCCCCACCCCCACCCCCACCCCCAAGGCCAAACCCACTTCCGAACCCACTCCCTAACCCAAATCCCCCGGACCAACTCCCCCCACCTATCCACTCCCCATCTCCATTATACCTCCGCACATACTCCTCTCCCCCCACCTCTCCTCCCTTAAAGCCTGCCAAATACACATCACCTCCAGATGATTCCCCATACAGCTGCTGCTGCCCCTCCCCCTCCTCCTCCCTGCTCCTCCAACTGCTGAACCCCATATAAGCCAGGTACGTTACAAGGCAGAGAAGTGTGAGCGAGAGGAGAACAAGCAGAGCGATGGTATAACCAGGCATCGAGGAACCAGTTGAAGGGCCCGTGTCACTGTTGCTGCCGCCAGTAGTACCACCACCACTGCTGCTGCTGCCGCTACCACTGCCGCTACTACTGCTGCTGCTCTCGCCTGCCGCCTCAGCTTGGCTCTTCACACCAAAGTCCCCGATCTCCCCACTGACCTGATTCAAGGCATCAAATGCAGCAGGAGCTGAGTAATCACCTGCCTCCTTCACCCCTGCTGCACTGCCATTACCAGCACCACCACTGGTCCCACCACCACTGCCACCACCAGCACCAGCACCAGCACCAGCAGCACCGGGCAGAGGACCCGGGCGGGAGATCTGGGAGAGGTCGAGAGTGAACCGCTCCACGTGCCACTCCTCCCAGCGGGCCTTCTGCTTCCACGTCACGCCCTCCAGATTCACGATGCTGTAGGTCGGTGGGGCTACAGATTTCAAGCGCTCGCCTGTAGCCGGGTTGAATGATACCTGGAGGTGACGGGGGGAGGGAGGGGAAAGGAGATGAGCTACCAGCACCAGCAGCGCCACCAGCAGCAGCACCGGGCAGGGGACCCGGGCGGGAGATCTGGGAGAGGTTGAGAGTGAACCGCTCCACGTGCCGCTCCTCCCAGCGAGCCTTCTGCTTCCACGTCACGCCCTCCAGATTCACGATGCTGTAGGTCGGTGGGGCTACAGATTTCAAGCGTTCGCCTGTAGCCGGGTTGAATGATACCTGGTGATGGGAGGGATGGATGGGGACAGTGTGAGGGAGGACAATGCTGTAAGTTGGTTGGATGAGACCTGGTTGTGGTGGGGAGGATGGGGACAGTGAAAATACAATGTGGTCGTTCCCGTGAAGTCAGGGCTACAGACTTGAGCCGCTCACCTGTAGCCGTGTCTGAAGTCGGTCATTCCCGTGAATTTTTTTTGCATCCCCGCGGCACGCCTCTAAAGTACGCCAGCACACCCCTCCCTGGCACAAGTGCCACTTGCAAATATAATCCGCGTGTAGTGAGTCGATTTTTGAGTCGACTCAAAAATCGACTCACGCCTCTAAAGCACGCCAGCACACCCCTCCCGAGCACAAGTGCCACTTGCAAATACATACATACAACACACACACACACATACACTGGCCCTTGCCCTCCTCACCTGCCCCGTTGTTCCCGTGAAGTTGATGCATCCACGCGGCACACCTCGAAAGCACGCCAGCACACCCCTTCCCAGCGCAAGTGTCCCTTGCAGTTGCAGAAACATACATGGAGCACACACGTACTCTGACCCTT